AAACATCTCTTTAGGTCGCCATTTGCAAGTTGTAAGGCTGACAATCTCCCGATGATGTGGTGATGGGTTAGTAGTGAGCAAAAAGCAGATTGATTTGTTGGAAATGCTCTAAAACCTCTGCTGAACATGAGTGAGCATTTCCAGGAGAGAAGCTGTGTTGGGAAAGGAAGCAAACTATCGTATGCCTCGAGAATGTAGTCATATGTCTGCAAACGATAAGATGTTTGAAGGGGGCACGCTTGGAGCGCAGCCAGATCAGATCTCCCACCAGCTGTATCGGCATCTCCTTATGGGGCTCAGTATGGCATCATTGGTGGAATAAGGGCGCCTATGCTACGCTGCAATACGCGCCGCCGTACACGCCCTATCGTTTGCAGGGATCATGACTGCACAAATTATCGAGTCTCTAGCTCTGTTGTGATGGTAAAACGAAGCGATGAAAGTCAATCCAGAGAAAGGTTAGCCTTGCCGAGCTCTCTCAGGGAAATTGAGCATCCTCCTTAATAGTGCACAGCGTCATCTCGCACAATGAAGGGCTTTCGCCCGTGGGCCTGTCGCGCAAGCTATTTTGAAGAGGTCGTGGTGGTGTTGCCTTTCTGTCGAACCCTTTGACTTCCTCATTGCAACTGAAGTTGCGGCACCAAATAGCATCCCTTCACGAACGCAGAGATCACTTGACATGTGCGTTATTCTAACATACACTTGCAGGACTCTAGGTGAGGCACTGATTTCCGCTAAAACGTCTGTTGAGACACGCATAAGCATTACTTGTTACTAGTGTCTGAACGTATTTTCAAATCAAAGCCACTATCAGATGTAGCGTTGGGAGTTGAATTTAACTGAATATGATTTTCTATAAAAAATTGACAAACGTCGTGTCACAGCAAGAAAAAAAATGAAAAAACGTCTTCCTAATATTTTCCGAACGTAACGATACTATGCTTTCCATCAGAGAGCCATAATTTTTTTGCGGGTCATCCTTGCCACTTAGGAGTGTGCCTCGTGGAGTGAGAAGCTACCATACTTTTTCTGAACGATTTCAACATAATGACGAGAGCCCCATTCTAGAGCTCACTGGAGCAGGTTGTGGCCGCCAGCGCTGCATCGGTGTCCAGCTAAATCCTTTTGTACTTCCATCTGTAAAACAGTGAGGGCTTGCTGTCAAGATCTGCTTTCTGCTCTGCTGCACGTGGATGCCCTTTCAGGAACTCGCATTCATGGTATGAGTACTGTACCCAGTCTCTCTTCCAGCAACTATGTTCTCTGAAACTACTTAATGAGCACGAAATTGTCTGAGGGCCTAGCGTACACCTTGTCTGAGTAGTCGAACGTATGAGATCCATCGGGGAAACTTTCCCGTATGACCGAGAGCAGTTTGCGAGTAGTGAGCGATCTTAGAATGAAAACATACTTCATAAAGCTGCCGAGAACTGTCGAATAAAACACTCAAAGTTGATTTTAGCAGTTGGACTAGCATACAAGAAGAAGCAGAAGACGTTGACGATCGGAGGCGGATATGTATGTATAAGAGAAAAAGTCGGCATGAATCCTCATCTCTATGCGAGGTGCTCCTTTTTACCCTCCGATATGGACGTCAAGGGAAGGAAACCTATGGTTGTTTGGTTTAAAGTGGGACATTTTCCTAATTCGCTACTTTCCTTCACTAGTACCTACCATCCGGCACGTCTCACCTTGATGAGACCTGCAGGCTCTCCCTGAGTGTAAACGAAACTCAGGCTGTTACGGCGTTCCAAGAGTTCACAGGTCTCTTCAGTAAGCACCGATGAGAACCAGCAAAATACCCACACCAAGCCGAACTGCGTCAGTTTATCCTTCTCCTCGTTTTCTTCCCTGCCCTGCCCTTTTTCAATGTAACAAGCTTTTTCCTCATTTGCCTGAAAACCTATGGTGGTCTCGAATGGAAAGTAAACACGTGATTGGCTAAGCCATTACCCTTGAACAAGTGTTCCTTTAGTAGCACCAGGGAAGCCCGCGGTCGGGTCACCCCACGAGACAACATGTAGCTAGAAATGATGGAATGCCATTTCGACGAATAAACGACCGATTACACCCTGATTAGTAGAATATTTCCGCCATTCTGCCGACGTTTCAACGATGATGCGTAATTGGCAGCAAAACAATTGGCGGCAGCAATCTTTCTAACCTTGTGGTTGGTGCTGATCCTTTGAGCCTTTACTAATTACGACTGTCGTCCTGCGTCCCTCAAGAAAATGCCATTCCTACGCAAGCAAATGGTATTTCAGCCTGCTATTCTTTCTTGAGCAGTTCGTTGATGGTAAATGGCCAACTGACGACTGATTTGCAGATGTCATTCAATTCGTCCGATACACCATCGTCGTTATACTTACTGGTCGATGAACATGCTGGTGGTGTGCTCGTGCCATGGATAAAATATTCGCGCTCGACTGGAGACTACAGTATACTCGAAGAGTATCTGGACACAGCTGTGCGTTCATACGTAGCGTGTGCACCTTTGTTTCATGTATTCTTCCTTTTGCGATGAAACCGTCGGCAATGCCCAAACTAAGGCTTCCTTGTTCCAAGCGTAAGGCGAACGTTCGGCTTTGGGCGTGAGGCTATACGAAAAGGGAGAGAGGAGAGAGAGAGAGTTCATGAAGGAGCAGGACGACAGATGAGAGAGGTAGTGATGCGATCGGTCACTGATGCTCTGGTCACTTGGGCACACTCACTCCTAAAGGCACGGCCCGCCATAAAGAGCGTAGGTGTTGGCGGCGAAATGTGGAGGGGAAGTTGCCGAGTGACTCGTCCGTGAGGAGAAAATGCCAAAGTGAACGGCGAAAACACCTTTAATATGACCCCTTCAGCCTCAAACAATTGCACGGGTGAAAGCCAAAAAAAACCGCTTGCTGGAGCGACTTCAGTTTGCCGACTTCTTGTAATGAACCCTATGACCCCACAAGAGACAATGTAGCATCCATTTCGTGCTACTTGTCCGGTAGCATCGCTTTTGGCTGGAAGGCAGGCTTTGAAGGCGGGGTCTGGAGGCGGAGTCACTGGAAAAAGGGAGGTACACTGGAGCAATTTTGCAGCATAACTCCCTACACCTTACAACTTTCGACCGTAAACATCTTACAACTTTTCGAAGAAAACTGGTCACCATGAGGATTGTTCACTGCGGACCACGCTACCTTCCCATAACGTTTTCTCCACTTTCATAGGTCATCGAGGACTGCTCCTTCAATGTCCCACAGAACCGTCTCTAACTTATGAATCGACGGTGATTTTTGGCGGCATCGAAGATTTGCCTTAGCTCCCGTGTAAAAGTGCTCTAAATTGACCCTGAAAGCAGACCAACTGCACATTCCATTCCAGTCCTATCTCTCGAGCCCGCGTTCTGTTTTCCTTACACATCGCTGCGAGTGGGACCTGCAGCTCATGTTGTTCGCGATACTTCGGCATCCACGCGCATGTTCCACGTTGCGAACAAGGCGCGGAATCCGAGGAGCATCTGACATCCATTACCCTCCATCTTCTTTTCACTTTGGACAGATGGGTGGCACCTTCCTACAGCACACACTTTTATATGGACCCTCACCTTGTGTGTGGCGCTGTCTAACCCAACACACATGGCGCTGACCATATTAGGATGCAAAGGCGTCATCTAATAGCATAGAATCCTTGAAGCCCACCAATATATTTCAGAAAAGCATGATTATGTGATCATCCTGATGCTTCTAATTTGTGGGTTTCAGCGAGATTCAGTTGAAAATTTTGGCCTACCAGTGTGATTTTTGCTTTTTTTTCTGAGCTGTCGCTTTTGACATCATGGAAGCAGTATGTCGAATGTGCTCGCCACAACAAGTATTGAAACGATGGGATCATCGGCAAAGAAAGACCAACATGAGGGAAGGAGGATGCGCGCGTACCAGCAAAACGGCAGACACGACAACTAGCAAGGGGCGGACTTACGTCAGCAACGTTGATATTAGACACGCCTACCTTGCATCTTTCCTGCAGAAAACTTAGTTGCGCGCCCTTGCGTTCCACAGCATCTTACCTGCAGAGAGCAAAGATTTTCTTATATGTAGGCGAAGTGGTAGCTTTAATTCACCTCCAATTAGAATAGAAGTTTTATATCGGAATGGAATGGGAATTCTTGAAAGGCGAGTCGTGGTGAAGTTGCGAGAGCGTGTAGCTACAGAATTTCAGGTGAAGTCCTATCTCTACAACGGTGGGAAAGGAAAACTCGTCTCAATCTCTGTGCTGGTAAAACGCAGGAACAAAGAGGTGAGAGGTTTTCTCTGGAATTCGAATCACTTTGAAGTATCGGAAAGTAGTGGAACTATTTATTCGTGTTTATAGAGGAATGCCCAACTCGGTGCTCTCCGGAGAAAAAAAGGTCGCGGTAAAAGCGGTCCAAATATCCTTGACGACATCAATCAAGATCGTCTTGGTGCCGATGACTTCCTGAAGGGTAGCGTCTTGCGCTTTCACACATATTCGTTGAACTTCAGAGAGATTTCTTACAGCTCTTAAAATCCTTGACGGCTTCAGTGCATGCGGTGGTCAGAAGGTCTTCAAATACCGCGAGCTGGTGTGGGATATCGAACAGAGAGGTGAAACTCCTTTTGCTCCAAAGCGATTCCCAGTTCGTTCCGTTGGACGCGAATTGCGTTTCTGAAAGTAGAGTTACAGGGAGGATGGGCGAAAACCTTCTACACATTTGCCTATTGCACAACACTGCTGACATGAATGAACTGGCAAAGCAGATCGTCAATCGATTTCCAAAAATCGTCAACGACATATTTATTTCTGAAGATTACTACGGTATTACATTACTACGGCTTCACCGGTAAAGTATATACATGAAGACCTATTCATCTTTGATCCTGTGCGTACATAAATACACCCGTCATCCGGGCAGTTGATTAGGGCGGTCGTCAAGGGCCGCAGACGCGGCTGCAGCAGCGACCGCGTGCGTAGGAACTGTTTCCGGCCTGGTTTAGTCATTTTCTCCGTACTTTTCACTGTTTTTGGCTGCTTTTTTCGAGCTTAGCTGTTCCTTGTCTTCACAGGGTAAATTATGACGATTGAGTTTTTCTAACTTTTGCAAACAATCAAACGATTAAACAAACGAATAAGCAAATACCTGAAACCATCGCAAAAATACATCATTACAAGAACAAAAAAGAAGAATCCATGTCTTAATATACTTCATATAAACAACAACGCAAATTACCTTGAAAAAACAGAGATTACAGTGAAAGTTAGGGAGAAAATTGCCAAATTAGGCTGGAAACAGCTGATCGCCGTGGTCGTTACGCCGCAGGATGCCGCGTCGCGACCCTTGGCGGCTAACCAAAACTGCGGGTGGCGACGATACAATCCTCGCAGTGGAAATGGGGTGTCAGTCGCGGCTATCTTGGCGCTGTACAGTACCCGCTCACCCAGTTTTCTGATGCGGGTAAACGACAAACGCTGGTGGAAATAATGGTGAACGACCCACACGATGCGTCTGTCGTATTTTACATAGAAAAAAAAAAGGAAAAACAATGGAAACTCATTCCCGTAACACGGGGCTCTCTATTGTGCAGCAAACAAAATAGTGAGTATATATATTTCCTGCGGCTTCGGACGTCCTGGACCACTCCGCCGACCCTGACACTCACTCCCTTTTGAACGGTCGATCTCCTGTTTTTCTCCTGCACTGCCTCGCCGCTAGTGGCACGATGTGGGTGACTTCTCCAGCTTTCAACGGACTAGCGTTATCCACGCGGAGGCCCTCCCATTGAAAACGGCGCGTTTCCTGTCTCGCTAACATGCTTGATTGCCATGTTTCTTGCACGTTTCGGTGATTTGGCCCGCTGTTCTCTGTCTGCATTACTTGGTTTCGCAATAGGACCATGCACAAAAGTTCAAAATGTCACGTAACCTTGTTTCCACACCACTCTTAGAATACGTCAAGGCGGTAGAAATCTGCGGTAACGATATCGTGAAAGTAGCACCTGCGATCTTAAGGATCATCGCATTTATAGGGTAACTCGGATAGGTTCTGCTTTCTATCTGCACAAGGGTATCGATCGCGAAAATCCCCCAGGCATGTCCACCGTACACCTTCTGCTGATTAGCGACCAATGGCGCCCTCATTTAGCCCAATTTCTTTGAAATAGAGATGCTGCAGTGACTTGCAGTGGCAAACGTGACTACCCATCGAATATTACCGCTTTTAGCCCTCGTACAGTGTCCAACGAACGTAACACTGGCGGCACGCAGGTACTGACCATCACCTTCGTCCCGGTGCTCCGGAAGCACTACTCTGGGAGAGCTCAAATCCGAATGTTTGGTAGAGTAGATTACCTCTACAAGGAGATCTGCATAGAGAAATCCATCTGGTAAAGATCTGGCGGACTGAAGAGCCGTTTTTCACGTTTGACGAAGTCAGGGAAAGCGGAAAAATCGTTCTTTGACTACTTTCGCTTCGTAGATGAAAGTCTCATTAGGCACCTCTAGAGTGGGAATCAATCTTGAATTCGAAAACATTTACCAGAATCTATTTTTAAACTTCCGGGTTGACTTTACGCGGGCCTCCACAGAAAACAACATTATAAGTTCAGGTTGTCAAG